GAAACGTACAAATTTGTTGTTCAAAGTTCACAGAAACTTTCTGTGTATTCGGCTGCCATATTTGAAATTTTGTCATCAATTCACAGAGAGTCTCTAGCCAAGAGTTGCTGGTGTCACATGCAGATCTGTGATTCATTTGTAAATGTAATCGAATTATTGCCAAATACCAGGTATATATGTACTTAGTATCAATATCCTGCGTCATTTGACACACGCCAAAAGCATTCCTTGGAACTCCGGCAGAGCTCACAAAATATAATCAAACCCAAGCCGGAAGCTCCGATTTCAAACAATTGCCGTGACACACAAATGGCTCAAGGAGCAACACACACTCACACACACGCACACACATATTTATACAATATTGCGAATTCCATTTGACACCCTAACGCAAACGAGGACCATTTAAAGGATCGTTAGCTGGGCGTTAGCACTGAGATTATGATGCCTGCGTTCCGTAATTCGAGCTGGCCACATTGTGCCCAAAACAAGGTCACACAGTTCCTGCCCAGGCAGCTACTGTGCTGACTTTGTATGTGACACGCTCGGATTATTTCTATTTTCATCTAATAACATCATATTGTGCATAATTTGTATAATTTTTTAATAACAATAAGGCATATGAAGAGGCAACGCCCGTTTTTTACTGAGCCCCCTGTGCACTCAGAAAAATCAGCGAGGATTTCGGTTGACTGAAAACATTGCTCTAGAAACATACGTATTTTTATTTTAACTAAGTAAGCAAATGGAATGTCGTATTAAATTTTTCTAATAAATTATTTGCACTTAAGAAAATAATAATAAAATGTTATATAAACATTTAAGTCTGGACCTCGAGGTAGCTTATGAAATATTTAAAAAATGAAAAGCTTGGCAGAATTTAGAGTAAATATTTTATATATGTTTTATAAATGTTTCTATTTTTTTCATAAGTTTATCTCCATTGAAAATTAATCTATATTAATATAATAGTAAAATTCTATAGTCTAATGATATTAAAAAATCCTCAAAATTTAAAAAATCCCGGACTTTTGCAATAATAGCAGGAAAAAACGTTTGTTAAACCAAATTTCAATCATTTTATTTTTGATCTTTCATTTTACTATATCCAATGGGCATGCAAAAAGTAAAAAGTTCTATAATCGAGCTAAAAAGTTTTCCGAAAAATGTGATAAAAAAAATGATCAATTTCCACTTGTAGAAAATGTTTTGCTTGTTTGCAAAAAACTCTTTTGAACACATTTTTAATTAATTTATTCTTCTAAAATTAATATTTAAAAATTAAAAAAAAAAAAGCAAACCAATAATTGTATAATATTTTAAGCAGCATTTTCTAAATATTGTGAGAAAAATATCAAATTAATTTTTAAAGTTTAATCCAATAGCCCATTTTTCAATAATCAAATTATAAATTGTATTCAATCTTCCGATAAATGCTTTCTTTTTTTGAGTACACTCACAGCCATTGTTTCGGGCAACGAATACTGTTTCCGATTTCGATGAGCTAACCCCCAACTAGCTGAGCAACTGCTCTCAACCCGCCCAAACGGGGTTATCTAACCCTCAGTTATGTGCGAAAACTAAAAGAATGAAAAAAAAGCATAAAACGCCCCTTTGACAGCTCGTTGAGGGCAACTGTTATTAGTTGGGCTCTCGAATCTGCCCATATGTACGCCTGGGACAGGGCGCGTGGTTCCCAGCCAAATACCGGGTTTATATACCCTCTCTCTGTCTCTCTCTCTCTTTCGAATTATGGTAATGACAACTCTTAAAAGGCCGCGGGCTGTATTTATGTTTTTTTTTGTTGGGCGCTGCCAGCTGTGAATTTTATTTGATTTAATTAAAAACTGCGTTTTCGGCTTTACATAATGGCCGACAAATTGACAACCATGTCCCATTTGTATTTGTGTCCACTTTGACTGGTTTGAGTATAGCATTTATTTTAAAACAAAAAGTTAGTTATTTTTATTTACCAACTGTTGATGCACAACCAAAAATGACCAAAATGTGCTCATTTATCAAAATCGATTAAGATTTGGCAACGTTTTCTTGGGACCGTGCATCTTGCCCTAAAAAGAGACCCATCAGAATCTTTTCTTAGATTGGATTTTTACAGCCGCAATCGATAAAAGATACAATTTAAAGATTCTACATGACATTAAACAGGAGACAGAAAACAATTTGCATTTCAGCAACATTCCTAATGAACATCGACCACGTTTATTGACTTACTTACTTACTTTTATGTTGGGCCTTTTGTTTAGTTATAGAAACATCTTATTTAACAAAACAAAAGGTTATTACAGACACTGCAGAGCTGGGCTGGGCACTTGTTTGATTTGTCGCAAACTGCCTGTAATTATTAGAAAAAAGTTTGATTCTTGCCGAAAAATTTGACACGCTCCCAGCCCTAGTTAAGCCCCGACGAAGTATATTGATGTCGGCGAAACAGTGAAATCTCATGGCATCTTCATTCAGAAGGAAAGACGAATGGACCGAAGCGACTGTTGATGTTGACTAAGAATATTTAGGTATATTTGAAGTCCTTATCTGGCTATCTCATACATTTCCAAAAACCTTTATACCCACAATAACAGGGTAAGAGGTATAGACTTACCAGAAATGCACCTCAAACGCCTACAGACCATACAGAAGAACACAGCTATGTACTTTAGATAAATACAATAATATAACTTTATGCTATAATTAATTATTCGAATTTTGTGTGTATAAAGCTTTTAAATAATACCGCCAAACTGTATGGCTGCATTGCCATCAACAGTGATAATTAATCGATAGTCGATGTATATAAAACAGCAAATACCAGCAAAATACCAAAAAGGCAAGGTGACCAGCGCACGACTGTTAAGTTAGCAGGTGCTCCATTCACTTAACAGCTGTTAAAAACAGCTGCTGCTTAAATTCAAATTGAAGACTTTCCGGGCAAGTAAACCAGTTTTCGCTTAATGTACTTGTGTCAAATAATAGGAATATAAAAATACATTTATTGCATATACGCAGGCCACGTCAATTGGAAATATGGGGGCGCAGCAAAATTATCATACAATGTTTACTACAAAAACTATGACGCTGAACAATATTTGTTTATAACAATCAATTCGTAAATAACTACAATCATTTTATATAGCATATTTGTAAATATAAATGAGCTTCGCTATGGATCACTTGCCAGTGGCAGAATAGCACGCATCGCACACACGCACCGGCCGGCCCGGCTGACCCTGTGCATTGAGCAGGGGCAGGGTATGCTGGGAGCAGGCCTTGCAGAAGATCTCCCCACAGCTGCGACAATGGTGTTTCCGGCGCGCCAAATTGAATTCCCGGGTGCAGGCAGTGCATTGTGTGGTTATCGAATCGGGCGCCCAAATGCCGGGAGAGCTCAACGTTTCCGGCATCGCCTGCAGCGACTGCGAAGAGCCGGAGAGCAGCTGCTGATGGCGCCGCTCGTTGTCCTGATATTCAGCTATCTTCAGCTTGCTCATGCTCAGCTGTATGCCCAGCTCCTCGAGCGTTGTCTGCGCCTCCGACCACTGAGCGCGCGCCTTCTCCAAATCCAATTTCAGCTTGTCGCTCTTCTGCTTCTCCTCGTTCAGCTCCTTCAGGCACGCTTGCAGCGTGGCGATCTTCTCCTTTAACTTAAGCTCCTTCTCCTGCAAGGATACGCGCCATTCCCGCTCTATGCGCGTCTCAGCCTCCGCGCGTGCAGCGCGCTCCTCGCTAGCGTTCACCTGGGTGGATAGTGTCTGTGAGGTATTCTTCAATATCTCGCCCAAATTGCTTTTATCATTAGTCCATCTGTGGGATGGAGGAATTGTTAATTAGACAAGTGCTTTTTTTTTGAGGCAGGCATATATTTATATATATATATTACATGAGATAATAAGTATTATAATAAAATGCTTTTTTCTATCTATTGGGTAGAAAATTGAAGACTTCATAATGTTAATTTAAAGCCTTAGAATATGTCTTAGTATCCGATTGAAGAAACAAAAAGGTTATGCCCAAAAATAATATATAATATATAGAGCACGATATTACAAAAAATGTTGCATCGCTAACTATAAATAGTGATTTTGGAAATACAACAGTTTTCCAGTGAATAATTATTTTTAACAGGCGAATCAATAAAATCTCCATTTTGGAGCTATCTTAATGAAACTTGACATAGATCCGTAGATTGTAGTCCGACTGACCGCACAGATTAGTCATATAGCTTCCATTAGAATTGGATTGGTTGAACAGAAAGTTGTTCGCTTTTCAAAATATCCCGATAGAATCTGCCTTATCAACAGCGGACTACTATAACATAGAGCTCTATGGGTGCGATAAGTCAATACATATTTTTATTTTCAATGACATTTCAATCACCAAATACGAGACTCTCTAGGCACCTACTATAATTTAAGGCTCACAAAAAAAAGCAATACCAAATATATATGAAGCCCATTTCTTATAAGTTAGCAAGGGCATTAGAATCATTAGAATCATTAGATCAGAAACCTTGCGATTTTGTCAAATATATTGAGTTACACAAATCTATTGACTGAGTAAAATAAGATTCCTTAAGAACTGTCTTCAAATTCTACCTTACAGCCGAGCGCAACTGATATATGATCTTACTTTTTCTCTAATTGTTCAATTGTGCTGGCCATATCTTCCTTTTGGCACTCTAATTTGCTCATTAGCTCCGTTTTGTGAGTCAGCGATGATTTGCAATCCTGTCGATAAAGATTTGAAGAAAATACGAGAATCTTTTGTACGTGTTCATAACTGGAGATGATAAATATATATATGTAAATATGGTATTAGTTAGAAATGAAAGACTAGAGTTAGGATAAGTTTTATTTCTTTGGTTTGGTTTTGAGAGTTATTTATATATGTATTACCGTGTGTATATGTAGTCCCTTTAACATGTATAGATAGATACAAACATACATACATACATATTTATATAATTACATTGTCATTTGACTAGTTTAAGTACATATATATATCTATTTATATAAATGATATATATATAAAGCAAGTTGCGAGTACATATGCGTATCGATTTGAATATAATATAATATAATAAATCAGCTCTATAGTACATCATAATGCAATTTGCAATACTTGGGGCCTTTACGATGGGGGAGGGGAAGGAAATTCAGCTAACAGCTTATAATTTGGAGAATCTTCAACAACGTGTTATAGCCTTTTGCTAAGGAGCTATACTAAGGAGCTATACGAGTATTCAATATAAATATATATATATATTTATATAACACATGACTATGGTACTATATAGGTAGTACTGAAGGCAACGTATTTTTAATATCGGATCTCAAATATTGACATATTGTTAAGCAGTTGCACTTTCAGTTACAGTTAGGTTAACAGCTCTATTAGCGGACCACAAGAGCTCAGAATTTAGTACTTATATGGTTTATAGGTGCCCATAGGTACACCTGACTAGCACAATTAATATACAGTGGCCGCTCGCAAGTTAGGAGTTGCCTGTTATGTTATTGTTTAACAATTCAAAAAAGTAAATAAATAAAATTGGCCCAAATAAATGTAGTATAAAAGCAAATATTAACCCTCTTTGCCCGGTCAACATGTGTTTCAGAACATTTTAAACCAGTTTCCCTTTCATTTAAAATTTAAACCCTTTAATAGGGTTTTAAGCGGCTCCAATTATTTTCAGAAAGAAGAGCCTCCTGGCTCTTTTCATCAATCACCAATCTGTCAGTCCATCAATCAGTCAGTCAAGTAGCAAAAACTATATATATTATAGATATTATATTGATAAATGTTTTAGTTTGAAAACAAAAACCTGTCTTCCGATATTGGTATTTTTTTTCCAGCTATTTAAAACCAATTCCGAACCGTTCCCATTAGCGAGCAACCACTGTACACTTAAGTAAATGCCTTCTTAACAATTAAATAAAACTAAAGCTGTTGCTATTTTAGGCGTCGCCGTCTCCTGTCGCCTCCTGTTCCCGGGACAGCGCGTAGTCGCTGCGTGACCCATCGCCGCCGCCCTTAAAATGCTGCGTCACAGCGGCCGCTGCCTCGGCCAGCTCATCGTTCAAGGATTTGGCGGACGTGGGCGTCTTGGCTGTGGTTGGCTCATCGGGCTGCAACTGGATCTGGGTGGCGGCTGGCGATTTGCGATAGTTGTTGGGATTGAAGGGCGGTATGCCCTCCATCTTGAGATGCAGCCGCTTCATCGGCGGTCCGGTGTCCTGTTTGTGCTTCTTGGTGAGTGCCTCGAACTTTTGCAAATTCTGCTGGCGTCGCGTGTTGGGCGAACGATCCCCGCCGCAGCCGGCGCTCACCTGCTGCTGCTCGACGAGCTTGGACTCGTATTTCTTTTCTAGCGATTGTAAAATGTTACCAATTTGTGAGGCTTTCGTTTGCAAACGAGAGACCATCTCGCCCTTCTGTGTAAGTTCATCTTCACATTCCTAATTGAATTTCAAAACGGTGGGAGTAGCGGGTGTTATCTTATTTCTTTTTCGATTTTAGTGTTCTCTCTTGGGATATGAATTTTAAGTTAAATGATTTGTAACCAAAATAAAAACAAACAGAATCAAACCAATGACTAGCGAATGAAGGAGGATAATGAATGTCAGATGAGATATGATTTTTGCGTGTGGTGTCAGCTTTTTATTATTTCTGATGAGATAGAGATAGGCGCAACAGAAGAGGGATAACCTCAAGCAACATGTCTGTCGAGCTATATCCCAAAATATTGAATTGTATTCTTTCTCACGGAAGCCCTATTCGGAACAAAACACTTTTCAGTGCGATTGACAACAAAATTGGATATTCTAACCCTCATGTCTCGAATTTCTTTCAAGGCTTCCCTATCGCAACAAACTCTCATTTTACACCTGGGTCTACTTGGCTGTGCTTCAATAAATGTGCTCCACCCACAAAATCCGGAGCGTTTTTTTTAACAAAACTCCATAATTCATTCATATCTCAGACATGGTCCGTTTAACGTCAGGTAATTGGTAACGTCTCATCAAATGCCCAATTCGATAGAAACCCCACATCTTCGTTAAGCTGTTCCGAAAATTCCAGAAATTCTTTAGATATAGTCCCAGCTCAAAATCGAATATTGAGGAATTCCCATCCTCAACTTTACTTGTGCGTTATATAGATAAGTGCGACTTGGGAAAATGTAGTCCTCCCATCCATCAGACGATTATTTGTAATTCCAGAACAACCCCAATTTCACACTACCCTAATTTGTTTTCCCGGGACATTCCTGTCTTGCGCCCATCTCTAATAGTGAGTTTCTGCATGTGCTCGTCCATACGCACCTGCAGCTTGCGATACATCTCCAGGTTGATTTGCTTGATGTCATCCAGTTGACGGCGAAGCGAGACAATCGTGTCCTGTTTCTCATGTATATCCTTCTCCAGCAGTTTCATGGCCATGTCGGATTCGGCTTTGAGGGAGATCTGCAGCTTGAGCTCCTTATCCAGCTCGGCGCTGCGTTTACGCTCCTCCGCCAGCTCCGTGCTCAAGCCGTCGACCTTGTCCTTGTCCTTGTCTTTGTCACTGCCACTGCCCGTGGAGCTGTTGTCCGAGTGACTTTGTGCTGCCTGTTGGCTGGCGGACTGGCGCATGGCCTGGTTCTCGGCCTGCAAGGCGAGCAAACTGTTGCGCGCTATGGCCAGATCCTCCTTCATCAAGGCATTGGTGGTGGTCAGCGACTCGACCTTTGCCTGAAGATTGCCCACAGTGGCGCTATGAAAATATTGAAGCTTGAAACATATCCTCAGTTGGGTTAATAGCTGGCGGTAACCCACTTTAAATGCCGATTGAGCTCTTCGATATAGTTCTTCTGATCCAACACGGCAATCATGTTGCCCTGCCCAGCGGCATCCAGTTGGGCAGGTGGCGCACCAGACTCCTCGCTGGATTCAGCACTGCGGGAGCTGGAGCGTAGATAGAGCGAAAAGTCGATGACGCCCTGCTGCGAGTCCAGATCCTCCTCCTTGACACACAGATTGCAATCTATAACATTTAGGCCCACCAAAATGCCCATAATGACAACAATCTAAAAGGCAATGGGGAGGTAGTTAAAGAGCTTCCAGCATTTAGAAGGACTTGGCACAGACCTCATCACTCATCATCAGAGCATGCGGTTCGTAGTAGTCGTGCAATGAATCCTCGCGATGCTCGATCAATGCCTGCAGGTAATCGGATAGCTTCTTTTGCATGAGAGCAATGCGTAGCCAGGCACGTGCGCGTCCTATGTGTGTGCGGACCGTGGGTAGATCTCTCACACTGGCCGTGATATCCTGCGCCTCGGGGCAATAGGTTTCGACACTCTGCAGCAAATCCCAGAGCTCCTTGCGCGGCCCCAGCAGACCCTTCTTGGGTCGCAGTCCATGCCCCAGAACATGCTCAATAACTATGAAGAAATGCTGGAGCGGCAAATGATCCGAGTCGAGCATGCGGCCATAGCGTAGCGATTGCTCCAGCAGCTCCTTGACAACTAGCTTGCAAATGTTGACCAAATTGCTGCGCTCAATCTCGGCCGTGTCACGTGCTGCAAGGGAAGAGTCCAAGCGGGGTTTTAGTGTTGCGGTTTTGCCGATGAAGAGGTCTGTCTGAGCTGCTAGTTCGAAATGCTGCCTCGTGCCTTCGCATTTCGTTTCAAAAAAAACAATGAGAGAACTCAATAAAAAATTATTATGAACATTTGTGTGCTGTTCTCGTTGCTGTTGCTCCTGGCGCCCGGCGGTTGTCCCATCTACAGCATCGATCTGTCCACGTTGGAGGTGCCCAATGATTTTCAGAACGAGCTGACGTTGCAATCGATGCTCAGCTCTGAACTGCATCAGTATCGAAATAAGCTAAATTCTAATGAGGTTTCATCAGCGCCAAATCTGAACGAAAAGGACCAGGAGCAGATAGTGCGACGACACCTGGAGGATCCATTTGACAAAGGTGACATGATGCGCAGCATTGAGGATCGCATTAAGGCCACATATTATGCGGCTGCCACGCCAGAGGAAACAGACCCCGAGATGGATTTGGAAATTGATAAGCCCGAACGCTGTTCCAGAGATGAGGACAAGTTTTTGGGAACCAACCTATTTGGCAGCTATCCGAAGCATTGCTTCTCCACGGAGGAAATTGCACTCATGTCGGCGCGCAAGGACTTTGAGCTGCTGGTGCCCAACTCCTATCCGAAAGGCCTGGTCAGCGACAGCATTATCTACACGCTGATGAAGTACTTCAACAGCGTTAACCAGGTGATAAAGCGCATGTCCGACAAAGAAACACGTCGCCTGCTGCAGCGCGCCTTCTATGATGCATTGGGCGGTTATTTGAGATACAAGCTGGTACCGGTTGCCCAGGTATCCTACTATGCTGGTCGCCTCAAGCTGTGCACGGTGCAGCGTCTGGTGGCGCTTTATCGCCAGTGTCTGATGGTGCTCAACACGAACGGCAATGGCTGGAAGCAGCCTGAACAGGACATACTCTCCCGAATGAAAAATGTGCAAATTAAACCAGTGCATCTAAACGATTCGTGTAGCACCGAGAACGATGCGTCCAGCTGTGCCCTGCTAGATCACAGCTGTGCGAATAGCGATGCACAGAATGAGCAGATGATTGTGCCGCTGCCGCATCTGGAGCTAGAGGATAGCAGTGGCTTCTTAAGCAACATATTTTTGCCCTTCAAGCATCGACGCATCTACAATCTGCGCTCGCCGGATGCAGCTTTTATTATGGTCAAGTTCTTCAAGACGCTGAGCAATTGTTATCGATTTCAGGGCATGAGCCAGAAGATTTACAATCACAAGCTAAGGGTCTGGATACGCGAAAATCTGCAGTTTCACTACCGGGATGAGATGTTCTATCCGGGATTGGGTGGCGTATTGCAAATCTATGAGACTTTGATCTGCCCAACGAAAGGCACCGAGCAGTCCGCACATGAAGATGAGCGGGATCGCATGCCGAGCGAAACGGATGACTATGACCTTGGGCCCGAAGAGAAGAGCCTTAGCGAGCCCAGCGATATGGCGGAGAAAAGCAAAAAGAGAAAACAAAATAAAAGCAACAGAAAAGACAAAGTGAAACAAAATGATAAGGAGACAGCATTAGGACGCAAACACAGCCGATCGACGTCCAAGCTTCAAAATAAAGGCTTCGCTCAGGAGGAGACTAAACCTGAAAAGGATGCAAATGGCGAGGAATGCGTCGATTGCGATGATGAAAGCTATGTGGGCTATGCGGCAGCCATTCTGGCGCTTCTTCTGATGCTGCTCCTGCTGCTCATCTGTTGTTGCATGCACCGGAATCGGGCGAATAAAAAAAAGCGAGGCGCATTGAAACCCAATAAGCCGGAGGAGAAACAATCCGAGGCTCGCAGTCCACCTCCAGCAGGTTCAAATGACTCGCCCAATAAGGCAGAATCGGAGAGAAGCTGCTGGAGCAAAATGTTTCAAAGCAAAAAGTCTAGACGACAACAAGGTAATGCTATGTTCGCACCCAGGCCACACAGTATGCCGTTTAAGCAGGCTTACAAGCTGAGTCCTGGCATGAGCCTGGTGAGCAGCCATCGGGACGAGGACCTCAACGTTTCTATTGATATGGAAAATCAGTTGCCGCGCAAAAAAGATGGTAAGTTGATGGGTCTTATTTAATATAAACGCACTCCTTAGGAAACCGAACACTAGTATAGTATATTATATAGTTTGGTTCATTTAAACTTGTCCAAGCTATATAGTATTTGTGTTTATACATATTAAAAGGCAGGCCATATTGCCTTACATATGGACATAATCCACACAATTACTTAAGTAGTTAGAGTACTGATAAAATATCTGTACGTTAGTTTACAGTCTGAAAGTCATTGCTTTGGGGTTCAGTTTGTAGACTCACTAATCACTTATTATATGATTCCATATTTTGAGTTCTCAAATATAAATTTTATCAATTTGCATTTAACAAAATTATTTGTTAATCTCAGCTGTGGACAGGTATGAGAATGATTCCTTTACATCGACTTCATCGTTGGTTTGTCAATTCCCAAGGAAATTCATACCCATTAAGATGGGTCGGGAAAAGCACTATGAATATTATGGTAAAACGGAGAAAAAACGAGTCAAGCCCGTTAGTAAACAGTCCAGCAATCAATGGCACCGAGAGCGAGATAGGGATAGAGACCGAGATCGAGAGAGGGAACGTGAACAAGAAAAACAGCCAATAGCTGTAAGGCCCGAAAGGCAATCGCCTGAAGCGAGAAACCGAGAAACAGATATAAAGCTGACAGAGGAAAGTTTACGAAAGATAGGCAACAAACGGAAATTTAGACGACAAGAGGGCGGGCTGGCCACCAGCCAAGACAGGGAGGAGAGAGTGAAGGAAACAGAGGTAAGTATGTAACTGGCGCAATTCAAGCAAAATCAACCTAAGCCCCTACAAGAACAGATAAGACCCATCGAGAGCGATACGAATCGTAACAGCGATTGCAGAAGAAAGGATACACCAGATGAAAACAAACTGGACAGTGAAAGAAAAAGTTCAGGTGTGTTGAAAGCGAACTGTGCTTAAGTCAAACTTAAGTCGAACAGCATTTTAAAACTAAATTCAACAATTACAGGGACTACAAATAGCTATAGAGCTGAACCAAATATTTCGGTTAGCCTAAAGCCCGAAACGCAGACCGAAAATTCGGAAATTAAATCCATGCCACTGTCTTTAACGGATCGTTCAAGTGGTGTCTGTGAGGTAAGTTTTTAAGTATAACTGAAGGTGTAAGATTTTTGCAAACATCCTAAACAGTCCTCCATACACGGAGCCAGTTGGGAAACCACCTACGACGATGAGAGCAAGTGAAGAGCAATTGCTGTCGACAGTGTTTCCTTTTGCAATGTGTTTCATTTTTTTTTTTTTACAAATATATTTACTTAATAAAGTTCACAAGCTGCTGCAAGGAGATCCAAGATTGGGTCCAGCCCACTCGAGTCAAGGCGCGGGCCAGAGAAAAGCAAGTGCAAAGCAAAGAGTGTAATATAATGCAATAACATGCCAAATTAAGATTAGAACTACGCTTATGCTAGCTGAGTTGTATCGACTTTCTTAATGAATGACACCAAAGTAACAGTAGTCGATCGAAAATGAGAGTTATCAGAAAAAGTTTCTTAAATTTGGACGGCTTCAATCTAATATTGATATTTTTGAGAAAATATGGAATATTTTCCACTTTTTACAACTGGTTTAGAGAAACATTATTCTTGTAAGAAAAACTGTGTTCTAATTTGTGGTTAGAAATGCAACTTTTCTAAGCTTTAGCCAAGTTTTGTATGAAAACTGAGGAGCAGCTAACTTAATAAGCTCATCAATTTGGCAGATGTGGCCGGATCGTTTGAGAAAACCAGTCATAAAATGCTGAGGCGCAGCCTACTTAACATTCCCTTTAAATTAACTGATGCTACCAAAACGAGTTCTGATATGTTAAGCAAATTGACAATGCTTGCCAGATCGCTTCAAATTCTGAGACTTGGCAAAATGAATAAGCTTTTGAATTTGACGACTGACTCTCTGCAAGATGCCTTGAAGGCGCAGCCAACACAAGGTCTTTTGATTAATTGCAAACGAATTACTTTTTGCATAGCATAAACGTAGTTGCGAGCACTTAACATTTGTTTAACATATGCTTAACATAACAGCAACAACTACAAAGTGAACGAAAGAGAAAGTATAACGCTTGCAAATAAAGAAAGAGAGAGAGAGAGAGAGAGAGATAGAGTGTGATAGAGTGTGAGATACGGCAAGAAGCAACCTACAGAGATGCGACCACTCAGCTAATGTGCCACCGATGAGGCCGACATTTTTGTGCTGCTGTTGCGTTGCCGTTGCAAGTGCATTTGAGCCGACAACGTCGCACAGACGGCGACCGATTAGATTTTCAATTGCCATAATACCGTTATCCTCGAATGTGCCACCGCCGCTGGTTGTCGACAGGCCCGAGTAGCGTTTGCTGTTGCGCTGCCCAAACTGATGATGGTGCGTCTGTGTACGCTGCTGCACGTGGCCAGCACCGGCGGCGCCTCCTGCACCTGCACCGCCAGCTACTCCTGTGGCATTTATAAGCGCTGCGCCGCCGCCCACAGTCTTCTGGCCGTTTGCCACATCGATGTCCTGCAGCTCCTTGAGGCACAGCCATTCGCCGTCCACAGAGACGCGAAAATTGCATAGGTAAATGGTGTCCTGGACGCCGCCGGCCAGCTCCTCGCTGGTATTGGCATGCGATGCCTTGGGTAAAGCAATGGTGTTGCTGTTGTTGTTGTACGGCTGCAGCTGCGTTGACTGTGGCTGCAGGGTGGCTGCTGCAGGTGCGGGTGTGGGTGCAGGAGGGGGCACGGCTGCTGCTGCTGCGGCCGTTGACTGCGCCTGTGGGGGTGGATTCTGACCCTTTTGGACTTTTGCGGCACTGGACTTCATGCTGGAGCTGCTTGCTGTGTGGCTGCTGCTAGTTGTTGTTGTTGTTGTTGTTGTTGTTGCTGCTGCTGCTGTTGTTGTAGACACAGCTGCCTTGGACTTTGTAGCAACTTGTGGTGATAGCTTTTTGGCCGCACCGCCTGTTGTTGCTGTTGTTGTTGTGGGCGTTTTAATAGCACCCTTCAAGGATCGAGATGTGCTGGCACTGGCCAGCGTTGTCCTGCCACGACTGCCCATGTTGCCGCTGCTGCTGCTGCTGTGGTTGAGGTTGTTGTTATTGTTGTTGTTGTTGGCCGTGCCAAATTTTGACTTCTTAGCCTCGTCAACCAGTCCACGCATCGTGTTGCACTTACTTTCTTAGTTGCATACAAAAAAGTAAAATAGCCAAAATGAGCGCAATCAAAAAGCTTGCGTTGCTTGCAACATACGTGAAAAACTGCTGAATTTGGCTGTCGGTTTAGCAGCTGCTTTAGAGCGCACTTGTTAATTAAACACTTTTTCTATATTTAATTATATTTCAAACTTTATAAATAATAATTGATTGCATATATGTTGCATTTATAAACGCTGCGCTGAGTTATCCTGTTGTTGCGTTGACTCAGACTGACGCAAAAGCTCCTATTGATTTGTCAAGCACGCTCGGCGTAGCGCAGCTTTGCAGGAGCTTTCGTTAGGGTGGTTCAAGAATACCATATGTTCGCAAAGATGCGTTATAATAATAGTTGTAGGTACAGTGAAAGCACGCGTGCGCGGACACCAACATTGGCAGGGCTTTAAAAAAATCAGATGTCGATTGTTGACAATTTTCCTGTTAGCTTATTTATCCAATTGGAAAAATGTAGTGCACCTACTGGTATTTTTGGGACTTATGATACACGAGTTGACCGTCGGGTCAGTTGTCACGTTTGTAGAACTTTCCTATATATAATGTGCACTTACCGGGCTTTTTGCGTTTGGGTTGTGCGGAAGATCCCACTGGCGTATTGGACACGGTTGCCACCGTCTGTGGCGTCTCTGGGTATGTGGTGGTGCCATCGATAACCTCGGAGGCGGCCGCGGCGGCAGCAGCATTTGAGAATTGCGTTGAAATCTGACTGAAAATATGAGACGAGATGCTTTCGGTGCGACGAAATGTGTCGCGCAGGCGATTCAATGACGAACTGGGCGCAGGCGTTGCCGTTGACGTTGGCGTTGCTGGCGACGTTGACGCAGAGTCGTCGCTTTTATCATGGCGCACCAACAAATCGTCCGTACTCATTGCAGTACGCACCAATTACATGCACATACACAGCACACACGCCCACAAAATTCACTTGAACTAAATAATAACACAGCGCGTAATATTAACGTATTTTTATTAGATGCAAGCACAACAAAAAAATATAAACAAAGCGCGAGAGCAAATATGAAACAACTGCAACAGCTGTTGCATGCGACATAAGCAGTGTGCCCGTTCGATGGAAGGAATTAAAAACAACAACATAGCAACTATCGCTTTTTGTATTATCGATAGATCGTGCTTAACAGAAATCAGCTGTGCTGTGCAGCCATGTTTGTTTTTCGCACGGCCCAAAACAAAACAAAAAGTACGTATATTACGCGTACCTGTTTCATTTCAGCTGTAACAGCCCGCGTCGCAGCAACAAGACTTTATAACATTACTCGAAAACTTCAACTGGGTCACAATACTAACAAATTGAACAAAAGTGTTACAAAAGAACAAAAAAAAACAAAGTTAAGCTTGTAAGCATCTCGAATAAACGTCCCGTTACTCAGTCTCAGTGCAGATTAGTGGCCGGGCAACAACAGCGTCATCAAAATTGATCGATACTGCGCATTAAGCATATTTTCCGCATATTCACGTAGAAAAAGCAGCAACGACAACAAAGAAGTTGCGTCGATCAATAGGCAAGCAAACTATCCCCACATTAATGTAATGCAGAAGAAGAAAACAACCGCTGCGGCAGTGTAAGCTGCAATCAACCAAACAACTTGAGACGGTAAGGCGGAAGTGTAACTAACCTACACCCACAAGCTATTTCATATGTCTGTATGTATGCGTGTGTATGTGTGTGTGTAGAAAAGTTTCAAGTTGTGATACAACGTCAGACACAGCGGCCATATTAGTTATTTTTGCAAACAGCACTAAACTTATTATTGAGAATCTGTGCACGGTGAGCACCACTCGAGTATGGCCGATTCGCTTGTTGTTGTTGGCCATAATCAACGCGATAACACGCCAGACAACAACAATGGTAGCTGTTCGGCTGATGTATGATAAACTGGTTACACGGCCGCAATTACGCCATTTTGAACAAGACTCGTAGTCAAATACATTTTATAAATCTTGCCATTAAAACCGAAATGCTTTTCAATTTCACAATTCTTTGTCGTGCATAAGCATATCTACATTATTGCACATATGCATGTGTGTGTGTGTGTGTGTGTCAGCACATATGGAATGTAAGCGAGGAAGACCTCAAAGCGACGCCATGTTTCCACTTTTGCTCTCACTGCCGCCAACTCTTACTCTCGTGCACGCTCTGCATCGCTCTCTCCCACGCTGCCTGCACAGCTGATCGATTCACGCGGTGCTCTTATCACATCGTCATTGCAGCTGTTAGTTTTTGTTTTTCCGGCCACTTTGTTTTTGTTTGTATGTATGTATGTATATATAATAGCAATAGATCGAACGCTTTGTGCCTCAGTATACTATGTCATAGAACCGATTTATCAAACAGATTTTTATACCCTGAACCCATTAAAAATTGGTATATGGGTATATTGTATTTGTGCAAAATCCAAATGTATGTAACAGGCAGAAGGGAGCATCTCCGACCCCATAAAGTAAATATATTCTTGATCAGCACCAATAGGCCCGATTAAAACCTCCTCCTTTTTTTTTTACGAAACTTTTGTTTTATAATATCTTGACCAAACTTAACAATTTCGAGCAAAATGCTCCTCATATATCAACAAAATCTTATCAGACTACTGTCTGACTATATCATGAACCAGACTAGTTTTTTTCTGAAATAACCGTTAAGTGTCTAATTATACAACAAACATATAGCTGGGGTGTACAATTTTTGGCAACCCTAAGAAATCTCTTGTTTCTTGATCATTTACAGTTCTGGTCTTGCTCCTATCTCTGTCTCTCTCTTTTTGCAGCCATATCTCAATCTCACTCTTTCCATCTAGTATTTACAAGTTTAGTGCAGAGCGCAAAATAAGCGGCGCCATTTAAAATCAAGTAAAGCACAATACAAGCTGATAACTTCGATTGAACATGATTCAGCTGCAGATGATGCCGTTTTTTTCAAAAAGTGGGCTAATTTGCAGCGTAGTGCTGGCGTATTTAAAGGCCGAGGCAGCGAGAGCCTCCTTCAGAACTAGCCAAGTGGCTGTCACGACAAGTCGCTCGATTTTTTGTGTAAAAAATAAAAGCTGGGAGCATAAATTTCCGCATTAGCCGCAAATCAAGTGAGTGCCAGAGCGTATTGTATTGTGTTTTATGTGGAAGATAAACAAATACAAATGCAAAAAAAAAAAAAAACAACAAAAAATACAACAATACAACTACACGGATGCCACAAATCAAGTTCAAAGCACCGGCAGCCGGCGACGCGGCACTTGTCAATTTTTCGAGAGGCACACGAAAGAAAAGATGGAGCTATGTGTGGCTTTTGTCCTCCATATCAATATAGATGTGTGTGCGTGTGTGTGTGTATATATATATATGTGTGCGTGTGTGTATGCGTGTGTCTCAATTTCTATAATTGAAATGAGTTTCTGTTTTCTGTTTCGCGTAACGTAGTCATATATAAGGTCTCTGCGCTGATATCATGAGCTCTGCTCCCATCTATTTCGTATTTCCTTTTGATTTACGCTTCTGTGTGTTTCAGTTTAAGCCTTAGGCAATAAAAACAAGCAGAATATACAAAATACAGGTCTCAACCGTGTTCACCTTGTTCTTCGGGTTAGCTTGTTTAGACAAGTGGCTCGCTGTGTGTTCAGCACAAATTCGATTCTTTCAAATTAGATATCTAGGTACACGCAAGTTCCACACATTGAAGATTCTAAATTTTCAAGTACCAAATCGAATGAAATTTCCTGATCATCTATATAGATAAGTTTTCGAGCTTTAGTCGAATTAAGTTTAGTCCAGATATCTTTTAAAAATGTGAATTTCGTCAAAATATGAATATTTTATTCCGTTTCTTTACATATGGTATTTAAAGGCATATGATAAACTGGTCCGCATTTGGCAAGTTTCAAATATAGAGAGAGATTAAATCCAAATATCGTACACGCTTATCGCGGGACCTATTTTCAGTCAGTTATAATAGATTGGCAGCGCGACTCAGATTATTAATATAGTTATGTACTTTACGCGGTCCGATATGTAAAGTAATACTTTAAAGCATTACAAATTCGTAACAAAATTAATAATAGCCGATCCGCCAGCCTGTAGAACAAACAAACAAACATTTAAAACGGGTTTTCGATTTCTTTGTGTAGATATAATCGTAATGGTTTTTATAGCATTTAGTGGCAAATCGTGTGCTGCTGATAAGCGAACCGCAACTGAATGTAATCTATTCATAACCAAATGCATTTAATCAACAACGGAATCGCACAAGAAAGAGTGCTACGACAATAAGTACCCGACTAGTAAATGCCCTGTGCCTAGCATCGACTCGACTGGGAAATGTCCAGTACCGGGCATCGAGCTTAAGTAACAAACATTCAAAGCTTGAACTTTCTTTTTAAAGTCAATTTACAATGGGAAAATCATTCTTGAGTAACTTTGGTGTTTATCGTCCGATTTTAATATTTTTTAAAAATGCATTTTTTTCAAGTTGGAGTAGAACTGGGCAGGCAAAATTGAAATAACTAATTTTGATTACTTACGTTATATGAGGTCCGAGGCGACTTTTCGATCGATATGATTTCAAATAATCTAGTAGAGCCTACTACATATCAAATATGAAGTCTCTAGCCCCCATTGTTCCCCAAATACATAATACAATAGAAAAACAAGTAAGAGGCTCGAGTCGGGAGCAGCCGACTAGGAGATACCCTGAACCCTCTTCTACCAAAACCAAATGCAGGTTGCGCTTAAAGCTTATGAAATTTGATGTAATTTTCAACAGTAAATCCTCTTGTATTATAGAATATTCATGTATTCTTAAAAATATAGTTTCATTAAAATTGTGACTTAAATTGGTTTATTTGATTTGCAGCTAAGTGCTGCTAACGGGGCGGTGGCTATAGATATAAAAAAAAAGGTTAATTGATATATATTTATACATATATTCAAAAAGTTACGTGTCAAGTTTGTTGAGTCTAGCTCTAAAAACCGAAGAGATATGCTCAAAAAACATGATTTTGATAGATTACTTGGAAACGGGGCCAGCTATCGATTATACGTTCCAAAGTTATTTAGCTCTTATAGGTTCTTAGATCCTTTCGTTCATACGAACGGACGGACTTGGCTAGATAGACTCAACTATTGATGCTGATCAAC